CTTCCTTCCCAGCCCTGAAGCTGTGGCCCTGGCCATGTCATCGTGTTCCTGTGTGCCCTGCATGTTCCCCACCCTTCACCCCCTCCTTTTGCGTGGACCCCCTTACAATAAATGTTAAATAAAAACCTGTCTCTGAAAAAAAAAAAAAATTTCACCATGAATGATAAAAGCAGGCAAAAATGTAGTATGGCTTAAAAAGGTAAGACCTAGTAATTGCAGGTAGATAAGGTATTTCTATGTCTTAGAATATTCATTAAAATCCTTTAAAAATCTATTTACATTGATCCAGATTCCTTTCCCGTAAACTTGAGGTCTAAATGATGTCCTAGAAAAACTGTACCAGGCAGAATTAAACGGGCAAGGAAGAATTTATGAAAGGCAACTGCATTAGGGGAGAGAGACAGAACTCAACTCCACCAAACAAAAGGTGAAAGAGATTTTAAGCACTGGGATGAGCTAGTAGAAAAGTACTGGAGGACCTTGGGGCAGGGGAATGGTCAATGGGATTAGGCTATGTGCGTTTGCTAATTGACACACTTATCTATCAAAGTTAGACTCCTACTCCCACAGAGACTAGAAAGAGGGCACCTTAGTTTCCTTGATGATTACATATCAAAGAGAAGGCTCCCAAGTCTTTGAGAAAGACACCTCTGAGACGTAAAACTGGCAAGAGCCTGGGAGATGATTTATACCTCAGAGGGGCAGGAAAGAATTGAAAACTTCAAATTTTCTAAAGTTAAAGCTCTAAGAACACGGAGGTGAGGGGCCTATAACGATGAAGAAATCTGTCTAAAGTTAACCAAGCTGAAGGAATATTAAGGCTCTCTTCATCAATAAGCATTCTGAAAAGTGCTTTCATTTATGAGGCCCCTAAGTTACCTTGTGGTTTTCTAAAATTACTTTTTATTGTTATCCTACAGCTAAAATTAATGCAACACCCCAGAGTGACTCCAAAAAGAGCAGTTAAGTTCTCGTTATATATATATATAACCTGAGGGGTAAAAAACTCTATAATTTTTAAAAAGTGACAATGGATATTGGTGAATTAAAATTGGAAGTAAAATATTTTAAACCTTAAAAAATAGCATATGCACATTTAAGGGGGCTCCTTCTAATTTCCACGACTGATGACTTGTTGTGGTAGTTAGTATTCAGCATAATATTCCTTATTAGGAAGACTTAACTTTTCCTTTTCTTCTCTTTCCTTATCCACCAAACGCTGTGCTAGTCTTTCATTTTTTTTTTTTTTGAAGAGGGAGAGAGAGTGTGGCGGGGAGTGGGTGCAGAGGGAAAGGGAGTGAGAATTTCAAGCAGGTTCCACACTGAGCAGGGAGCCCGACTTGGGGCTTGATCTCATGACCCTGAGATCATGACCTGAGCTGAAACCAAAAGTCGGATGCTTAACCGACTGAGCCACCCAGGTGCCCCAACTACTCTTTGTAATTAAGATAAAAGTAGCAAAAGTGGTGTAACATTTGTAGAAGAAAGAAAATTGCAGAGAATGTGAGTGTTGAAGAGATTTTCTCCTATTTGATCATCTAATGTATAATTTATAATTTTATTAATGCTTTAGACATATGCTTACATGATGTGAAACAAAATATCAAAAGACAAGGAATGATATTTTCTTGGGTGCAAGCAGATAACTGAATAATTGTGTGCTGGTAATTATGGGCTGGTATGTTCACCACTGAGAACCATGGGGAGTGTGAAGTACCTTTTTTTTATGTGTGTCCTGCAGCAAAATTAAATCTACTGGACAAAATAATCATTAGCATATTTTGAAAAATCTTGGGGTTCTATCTAGTTCTTAGCTCACTATAGCTATTTATTTGCAATATTCTATATGCTTTTTTTTTTATCAACATGGCCTTAAATTGAGAAAAGGAAAATGTGAATATTTTGAAGTTACAGTGGTGAAGCACATTCAGTCAGACTTCACACACTGTAAAATCTGAATACTCAAATGCAAAATTGCTGAAAACAGCATCTCAAGGCTTCAGGACAGTTCATTATGGTAGGCTCTGCTGCCAATGTGATCTTGAAGGCCACAGATAAAGTGCATTGTGGTGTATTTTAAGAAGGCATCATAACTAAGTGCTCCTGCTGTGTTTGTGGCTTCCAGAAAAGTTATTAACAGCACTCTGTCAGATAATTAGAAACATAGATCATGCAGATATTTCTTTTAATTTGCTAGAATCCATACCCTAGTATAGTTGTTCTATTTTCTTGATATTTGGGGATGGCATTTTTAGCATAAAATTTATATGTCTAACATCTGGTTAGTGAGCAAATCTACACATTTACCAAGAGTTTCCCCTCTGACCTCTTTCAAGCCTTAGATGTCAAGAAATGAAATTATAGATTATATACATATACATATACATACACGAGATGCAAATGTGGAAGGTATGAATTAGATATATATACAAATACACATTTTACTTATCATGTAGATACAGACTACACTATATATATATATATATATCTGTGTGTGTGTGTGTGTGTGTATATACAAATACACATTTTACTTATCATGTAGATACAGACTACACTATATATATATATATATATCTGTGTGTGTGTGTGTGTGTGTATACACACAGAGAGAGCAAGCGAGCAAGCATTCTGTAAGTCATACCATAAATTTAATATAGAAATCCAGACCAATCACCCTTCCATAAATTGTTCCTTTGGACATTAAATACACTTAAAGCCTAACAAAGATTTGTATGTCCTAGTAGAAAAGTCAATCTGTGGTTTCCTAAAATCACAGGTGTCTGAGGTTTCTGAGTACACATTATCTCCCCAAAACAATGTTTTCCTTGATGGTTTTTGTCTGCTTGGAAACATATCTACCCCTAATGGAGAAGAGCAGTGCCTGTACTCCTTAAAGGCTGTCCACCTGGTAGGAGAATTATTATCTCATAAAATGTTCTCACCACTTTCGTCCTTTGCTACAGTGACTGCTCTCTAACATTTCTTATTTTTCGTATCTGAGACAAGGGCTGGGCATATGGGTGGTAAGGGGACCACAGGGAGTTTGTGGTATTTTCACTATTCCATGTTCGCAATATACCCAACTACAAATATTTGGAACAAAATGACTACGTGTATCTCTCCCCAAGCCCTAGGCAAATATGCATTTAAAGCTATGGCTTAAAAAACAGTCAAATCTTTACTTAGATGTTAAAAGACAAGTCTTTGTGTAAATAAATGACTGATACAAGGTTCATTTCCATTTCTGAGGAACATACAGACAATAGTTTTGAGCATTACAACACTAAAGTGGAGTCTAGGGATGTGTTTGGGATTCTTTGATAAATAGTCTGATTAGGTCCAAAGAGGTTAGATTTGGAGAAACAAGAAAGTAACTCAACTGATAGCTGAAGAAGAGAAAAGAGGTTCATTTTTCTTCATCTCTCTTCCCTGGCTTCCTTTGCTTTTTATTTTCAGAAGTGCTATCATTGAAAATGCCTCCAGGGTGTAAAAGGAATAGAGGAAAAGGAAGGGATTGGGTAGAAATTCCAGATACCAGTGAACTTTGAGGCAAAGAGACAGAAAGAACAGATGGAAATACCAAGATACAGAAGGAGAGAAGGAAGTTAACAAAGTTCTTCTCAAGTGGTTATTTGTAAGCACTGCTTGTATTTTAAAATGAAAATGTTATATTGTCAAGATTCTATCACTTTTGAAATTCATTCAGTGGCTGTGAATTCAGGGCCTGCTGTGTGTCAGGCTCTGCGGATCCTGTCCTCAGGTCCACGGAGGCACACAGACTCTATGTCCTTGCTACTCGGCACACGCTTTGGGGACTGCAGCACTGGCATCACCCTGACTCAGAATTTGCATTTTTACAAGATCTCCTTTTAATTCCTATGCACACCGAACATCTGAGAAACACTACTTTAAATATATGACTATAAAAGTGTGTGAAACAGACGTGCCTTGACACTATGAGAACACAAAAAGAGGAGCCACTTATTTTGAGGACTAAAAAAAGACTTCACCTGGAAGGTATACATTAGACCTGAAGAATGCACTGAAGTTGATCAAGTGAATGTCTATGGTGAGGGTGGACAGTGATCTGGGCAGAAGGAATACTCCTTGGTGTATGATCAAGAAAATTTAGTTTGGCTGGACGATAAAGTAGAATACAGCAAACAGATGGATGATGGTGGGGGGAGGAGTGTGAGGTAAGTGAGGACTAATGATTGCTGGGTTGACAAAAACCAACTAAGGATTTGGGACTTTATCCTTTGAGTAATGTGGAGTGAGTTACTGATGGTTTTTAAGCATATGGTTTTCACAATGTGGAGAATAGTTTTGAGGCAGGAGAGGTGGCAGCAGAAAGATGCCCTGATGTTAGTACATAGGACCCAGTTTCTTCAGGCCTGGGGTTGTGTAAATTGTATCTTAACTATTTCTTTGTTTCAGAAATACAGAAGAAATCAGTATAGTCCTTAAAGAGTCTTAGATTATTTTTACTCATTTTTGTGGTCTAGAATGGAAATATTTTCCTTTCAACAAAGCAAAAATCAGTAGTTGTTTGTGTGATCATTTTTCTAGTCTGTTTGGCCTGGAGAGAGGCCACTATTTGCTCTTCTATGCTCAGCTTCAAGGCAGCAAGAGATGAAAGTCATAGCTACATAGAGGACATAGTGGAACTTCTAAATGAATTTAGTTTAGTCTTCCAGATTTAAAATGTTTAATTCTCTGAGATCTGTTTCTTACCAACTTAGATCAATGGTGAAAATAGCCAAATCTGAGCATCAAAACACCTGCCAGGCTACCTGATGCATGATCTGCATCGTTCTGAGAAGTAAAAGTAATTTAAAACAATAAAGGCTTATGTCTGGGATTCTGAATGCATGAGTGTGAGTGTGAGTGTGTATGTGTATGCATGTGTATTTATAAAATTGACACTGGATAACTGAGGACTTGCTGATGGACAAATGAGATGGGAGGATATGTGTGTGTATGATAGACTAATCAGTTCTGAGCAGTGATAAAAAGGTTTCACTATAGACCTTTATAACTATGAAGATTTCTACACTTGAACTGAACTTAGAATAAAATAAAATAAAATAAAATATTTAAGATCACTTTCAATACAATTTTCACAATATTTTATGCAATCCCTGCTGCAAACCTTTAAACTCAGCTTGAATCATCTACAAACACATACTTCCCAGAGCATAAAACTGTCACAAACTCCAAGGCCTACTTAAAGCCTGCCCTGAGGGAAGTGAGCACTGCTACCAATACTCAGACACACCACAACCTCCAATAAATTTTACTTCATTCTAGACTTGAATTTCTAGGAAAGGACCTTATTTTTGTACCTTAGTCCTTTCCCTATTAATTCTTTGTTGACCTCTTGGATCTCTGATCCCAGTTCACACCTATCAACATATATTTTAGACAAGAAAACTCAGGCTCCGCTCAGGCTCCATGGAGCCCAACCACCATAGGGAGCAAGTGAGTCAAGGCAGTGATAACATCTCCATGTTCCATACAAATGGGAAATATGAGGAAATGTTTCTTACATTTTAGTAATCCTGATTCTTCATACAAGGGCAATGATATGCAAATTCTTTATTTATTTTGTTATAAAAGAGTATTTTTTAAGAGTAGTTTTAGGTTCACAACAAAACTGTGGGGAAGGTACAGAGATTCCCTATATCTCCCTCCCCACTACATGCACAGACTAACCCCCCCACCATCATCAACATCCCCCACAAGAGTTGCATACTTGTTACAGTTGATGAATCTACACTGACACATCACAATCACCCAAAGTCCATAGTGTACCTTAGGGTTCACTTGGTGTTAATACATTCTGAGTTTGGAAAATGTATGACATAGTATCATACAGAGTATATTCACTGTCCTAAAACTCCTGTGCTCTGTCTATTCATCTCTCATTCCCCCACCCTTAATCCTGGCAACCACTGTTTTTTTCTGTCTTCATAGTTTTGCCTTTTCCAAAATGTCATATAGATGGAATCATACAGTATTTAGCCTTTTCAGACTGGCTTCTTTCACTTACTGACATGCATTTCAGTTTCCTCCATGTCTTTTTGTGGCTTGATAGATCATTTCTTTCTAGAACTGAATAATATTCCATTGTCTGACTGTACCACAGTTTATTTATCCATTCACCTACTGAAGGATGTCTTGGTTGCTTCTGATTTTTGGCAATTATGAATAAGGCTGGTATAATATCTGTGTACAGGTTTTTATGCGGACAAAAGTTTTCAACTCCTCTGGGTAAATACTAGGGAGCACAATTGCTGGGTCATATGGTAAAAGTATGTTTAGTTTTACAAGAAATCATCAATTGTCTTCCAAAGTGGCTCTACCATTTTGCATTTGATCCTGCCAGCAATCAGTGAGAATTCCAGTGCCTCCACACCCTCGCCAGCACCTGGTGTTAGTGTTCCAGATTTTGGCCATTCTGATAAATATGTAGTGGTATCTCACTCTCCTTTTTAATTTGCATTTCTCTGATGACTTTTATGTGGTACATCTTTTCATATGCTTATTTGCCATCTGTACATCTTCTCTGGTGAGATGTCTATTAAAATCTTGGGCCCATTTTTAATCAGGTTGTTTGTTTTCTTATTGTTTAGTTTTAGGAGTTCTTTGTATATTTCAGATAACATTTCTTTGTTAGATATATCTTTTGCAAATATTTTCCCCTAATTTATGACTCGTCCTCTTATTCTCTTGACATTACTCTTCTCAGAGGAGAATTTTTAGTTTTAATGATGTCTAGCTTATCAATTCTTTGTTTTCATGGATCATACCTTTGGTGTTTTAGCTGAAAAGTCATCACCAAATCCAAGGTCATCTAGGTTTTCTCCAATGTTATTCTCTAGGAGTTTTACAGTTTTGCATTTTACATACATGCTTGTGATACATTTTGAGTTAATTTTTGTGAAGGATTTAAGTTTTATGTCTAGATTCATCTTTGCCTATGGATGTCTAGTTGTTCCAACATCATCTGTTGAGAGGACTAACTTTATTCCATTGTATAGGCTTTTGTTCCTTTGTCAAAGATCAGTTGACTCTATTTATCTGGATCTATTTCTGGGATCTCTATTCTGTTCCATTCATCTATTTGTTCTTTCACCAGTGTCTTGATTACTGTAGTTTATAGTAAATACTGAAGTCCTATAGTATCAGTCCTTTAGTTTTGTTCTTCCTCTTCAATATTATGTTGGCTCTTTTAATCCTGTTGTTTTTTTTTTTTAAGTTTCCCAAAACCCAGTTGTCAAAGATGCCATCCTGTCCTCTTATATCAAATACAAATTTTATTTTAGGAACTCAGATAAGTTTAAAGATAGACACAAAAGAGTTTTCCCAATTGATGTTTTCCAAAATTACATGTGAATTCAATTTTGAGTACACTAATGTTCCTAGTTCTCTGTAGTTATACTTAGATTAAACTGCTAGAAGAGTATGGCAGGACATAGAATATATACACATATGTAATCAATCCTACTGCTTGAGCACACAAAGCCATACTGAGATACTGAGTTTGGCTATTTGTTTTGAGTTTTTAAGAAAGAGAGCATGGTTTCATTGTCATCTCAATCGTTATCTTTAATAACCACAGCTAACATAAAAAATAGTGGCTATGTAGGTCTTTTAAATACCTTACACATATTAATTGATTTAATCTTCACAATGATCCTATGATGAAGATATGATTGCCCTCGCTTTTCAGATTAAGAAACAAAGTCAAAGCATAGTTAAATAATTTCCCCAACGTCACATAGCTATTAGGTAGCAGAGCTGTTATTGATCAGCCTTGAAAATGTGAGTGACTAATTCAGAGTGGAAAGGTTTAGGAGATTTTTAAAATCAAGGAGGTTTGGGTCCAAAACTGGACTTTAAGGATTAAAGCACAAACTCTTGGGCATAGTGATTAAATTCTGTTAACTTCAATTTGTTCATCCATAAAGTAGAAACCATATCCCCCACTAATAGGTTCCTGGGAAGATGAAAAGAGGTAAGGATGTGAATATGCTTACCATTGGTCCAGAGGCACAGAATGGCCTCAAGAGAGTTTAACTGCTTTACATTTCCAATAAAATCTCTGTTGGTTGTAGCAATCAGCATTGCTACATAAACTATGCTCTCTAGATGAACTTAGTTCAATTCTTTCCATGTCAAATAGGTAACAATATTTTCAGTAAAATTTTCAACCATGTATTATGTACACTCTGGCTCATTAGACTGAATGTACTGAATCACAAGATAATCATCAGGAAAAACAATGGTGGTTGTGAACAGTAGAAATAAATATAAATGTAGCTGGTTAAGGGAAGGAGAGGTGAATGCCTGTTGGATTCAGTAATTGTCCTTAACTCTAGAAGGCTAAATCATACTAGTGGGGATGGCTGACTGTAACTCAGGGATGCTCTTAAGGACTAAAGTGGCAGGCATTTCCCACCTACTGTTCATATATTAAGGGCTGCCATAATCTCATTCATGGAGGAACGAAGCCTGGAAACCTGGGCCTATAAAGACGACAATATTAAGTTGCCCCATTCCCACACAAAGCAGTGGGCCCCCCCTTCTGCCCTGACTGGTTGAGGTTTTTGGTTTTTATTCTCTGCATCCAGAACCTTCCCTGTTAACTGTCATTTTCTTTTGTCCAGTGCACCACAGCCAAACTCAGATTTTCTAGTTTTCTGTGTTCTTCTTTCTTCTGTGTCCCACAACTTCTCTCATACGTATTCGTTGAGTTGATTGTTTTTGGAAAGTGGAAAATCACTGTATGTCCCCTCTCCCTTGTTCCAGCAGTTTTAAGCCCCCTATCTCCCTGGGTTAAAGGAACAGTTTGAAGGAATGAAAAGAGGTTGGGCCAGTTACTGGGAGACATGGGCTTTATGACTTACAGCCCCAGTTGTACGTCTTACTACCAGTGTGACAAAGTTACTTACCCTCTGAGGAGTTCAAATTCCTTGTATATAAAATGGGAGAATAATTGTACCTGTATCACTGGATGGTTGTAAGGATTATTTAAACGAGTTGACTGATGTAAGGTGCTTAGAACAGGGCCTGGCACTCAGAAAGCTACTATTATTATTAGTGCAATTCTTTTTCAAAATCTTCACATCCTGACTAAATGAAACTCCTCTCATGCACATCTCATTCATTAGAGAGTCCTCACTGGTTTTTTATTCCCATACCCCTTACAATGTTTACCCAAGCTCTGTGATCCTAGAAAACAGCAAATTTAAGAAACTCTCCCCTCCTTTATTGTTCCAGGCAACAGCTTACTGTAAAAAACTACCCTTCCCCTTATAATTTGGATAAAACTCATGGATGTTCCTTTGTTTACCTATGACAAGGCCAGACACAGACCCTCCAAATTCCTATTTTTGCTTCATAAATGATTAGCTGAACTGCTGTCCCCACTGATCAGCCAGAACAAAATGCTTATTAGCCATAATTTCGGTAAGATTCTCTTCTTCCTTCAGGCCCCCAACTTTGACCTACCCTCATCCTGAGCCAGCATATAGCCATTCCTTAATAGGCTTTCCACAGAAGAGGCTGGCCTCAGGGTAGAACTTTCTCTGATGTGCTATCCCATCATGCCACTCCTGTTCACCATTTCCCCACACCCTGTTCTTGCTAGCTTCGTTTTCTTCTCCCTATAAAAGAAAAACTCTTTTGCCTAAATCCTGAGATGTTTGCAGATCTTATACTCAGAATGCTCTCCCTATTGCAATAGTCCTCCTCCTATAGCAATAGTCCCCCTCTTTGCAATAATCCATCTAAATAAAGTCCTTAAAAGTTTAGTTTAAAAAAATTTTTTTGACACCTCCATGTCCAAATTCCTGCTCTCCTTGAAGGAGGACTTCAAATTCCATGTGTGCAGGAAACTTTCCATGACCATCCCAGAATTCCCACCGCCATTTATGATCCATCTCTTTTATACTGAACTTTTTATTTTACATTCTATTATGTGCATAATTTATCTCTTCTGTTTGATGATAACTGCCCCAGGAGATCTCTGCCTAACTCATTCTTTGATTTATCACAGTGCTTAG